GCACTCAGTCCACTGAACTGTACCAGCCAGGGCTAATTAACAATATTTTGAAGGTGTTCCACTTGATAGTTTCTAGAAAAAAACCCCTAACATTTATTAATGAGATAGAGCAACTTAGTAATAGAGAGCTAGGAGAAAAGCTGTTAAAGCAGAACCCAGAATGTGTTTCAATACTGGTGACCTTTCCCCATAGGAAATAGAAATACAACCAGGGGGGCAAAGCACCCTCACCAATATAAAGCAACTGACAAACTTGAGAGATGGGACATTTTTCTATGTGTTGGTCATTCAAATAGATCTGTGCAGTGAATAGGAACTTAAAATTTTCCAGTTTAAAAGAACCAAAGGTAGAATGAGAGACAGGTTAATAATATGCTACACAAAGTGAGACAATATTTCCACAACCTATTTTTGATGTTTGATGTTCACGGTTCTGTAGCCCTTAAGTAAACACAATTTTTCCATTTTTCTCTGAAGAGCTCAAGGATGTTGACTGCTTAGACATATAATTTAGAGTGTTTCATGCTTTTGTTTCCAGAGAAACTATATCTTAAATGTTTCACTCAAGAATCTGAAGATTTATTAGTAAGACACATGGCGTGATGCAGATACTGGCCTGCAGTGTCCATGTCATTATGGATGAAATGAGACATTCACATGGACTACCGAGTCTGGTGGAGGAAAAGAGACAGCATGGCTTTTCTCTCAAGGGGAGCAAAAGCCTTGGCCCTTGCCATGACTGGCCTTTATTTCTCTCCTCTGCACAGGTTTGCTTTAGGTGGTTACCTTTTACAGAAAACAAAGGAGCCAATGCTGCTAATCACATCACAGAAGAGGGATATTTGCAAATGAAAAGGCAAAAGTGGTTGAACCGGTTACACTCATCTTTGGAAGGTTTAGGATGGATTTTAGGAAGTTACTTTGCAGTAAATGTTCTCAATTCAGGGTGAGGGAGTTTTTTAGCAAGAGCAAGACTCAAAGTGACCTAGGCACATTGCAGACCTGATTCCCCACGGGAGAACCTATCCGTGGGCGTGGGTCCTGTGTGTCTCCGAGTGGGAGCTGGGCCTACACCACGCAGAACGGTCTCCTACAGTGGGCATAAAATGCTTTTCCCCATCAACAGTTCAGAAAATGTAAAACTGTACTTATTTGTCACAGGAAAATCTCCCCAAGAAATGTACCTTAGGCTGTGATTAATGCTGAGAGTGGGTTTCTTTAGGAATTCCAAATGAGATCTCCCCTACAGCTCTGGGGCTGCTAAGAGCAACTTTGTCGTTCCTCAGAGTTTCTGGAGATCACTGGCCCTCAGTGGCTGTGAACAGGAAGGCAGGCCAGGCTGACGCTAGGCATACACGGTGTGGGTGCCTGAGCCACCCTGCTCAGGAAGTCCTTGCCCCCCGCCCAAAGTGGCCTGAACCCCGAAAGCGGGGGCGAGGACACAGCCTAGCTGACAAGCACAACCGCTCGGGTATATTTCTCTCAGCTCCCATATTGCAAACTGTCATTCCTCTCAGCTCGGGTGTATTTTCACAGCTCCCATATTGCAAACTGTCATTCCCCACTCTCCATTTCCAGTTGTTCCCTGGAAACGGTCTTTCCTTTTCTAAGCCTAAACTGCATCTTACAACTTCTCTGAGGCTTTTCAGAGCTGGGCTGCCCTCCTTCGTGCCACCGACCCCCACTTTGTTTTTCACTTTATCTCCATTTCCTGTGTGGCAGCAGCCGTTTTCTTCCCAGGGGTGGGGGTGGGGCACTGGGCACTTCTTTCTGGTTGCAGAGTCCACTGCTTGCCCTGACCCAATCTGTACCCCGCTGGAACTTTCCATTTGCAATCCATAGAGGGCAGCTTCTTTCATACTGTGAGGACAGGAGAGCAACCTCCCTAGAATGTCCCTGCAGTATTTATTCACCTTCTGAGGTCTTTGCTATTATCGATCTGTCTACCTTTATTTTCAGCTATGAATTCAGCCAGAATGCTTTGTCTCAGTGCACCCCTGAAGTAAAGTAGGTCAAAGCGGGGTTGGGAGAGGAGGCAGGACACGAAGCTCTGAGACAAAGCAAGGAGAGATGGGGATGGGTCAGTCAAGGTCCTGTATAGCAAATGTTCACGGTTCCTCACAGTGTTTTTCTTTCCCCTTTATTGAGATCTAATTGACAAGTAAAAAAAATGACCACCATCTAGTAAATTAACACATTCATCACCATACATAGTTCTATTTTTAGGGGGGGAGAATATGTATATTCTACTCTTACTGAATTTTAATTATACAAAACATCAACTATAGTCACCATGTTATATATTAGATCCTCAGATCATATTCATCTCATAACTGAACATTTGTACCTTTTTATTAAATGCCCCCTACTCCCTTACCTCCCAGTCCCTGGTAACACTTTTCTCCTTTTATCAGTTTGATTTTTTTTAACAATTCCACCTGTAAGTGATGCTGTTATAGAACAACAAGGTGCGGGGGGGGGGGGGGGTGCCTGGGATGGTATACTATTACTGAAAGGAACCTCCCAGGTTCATTATGTCTGCTGCCAGAGGAAAGACATGTCTCAATGCCAGAGATTTGTGAAAAGGAAATGTTTATTTAGTGCTATACAGACTTACAGTAGTGACCTAATGTCTTCATCAAAATCCCAAAGTCCCTTAAAACACCCATAAACACACACAGTCCTTTCTTCCCCCTTTGCCCAGTCTGGGGTACCATATGTCAGAAAAGGAAACAGAAGTCTGTGGCTCAGGCAGCCCCAGTTCTTCCCAGTAATCCATCTCGGCTGGTAGGCCTCCCTTGGTTCCCGGCACCATCTGCTGTGTCGCCGGGATCTCTGCTAAAGCTGGGTGGTGGTTCCCCCTTCTAAAGCTACGGGGGTCCCCACTCTGCCAAAGCCGCATAGCTTTCCTTTCTATTGCCACAGCCACACGGCCTCTCTGCACAATGGCCACGGGAGTCCCCACTGTGGCAAAGCCATGTGGTTCTCCCTCCTCAATGGCTGCAAGGAGGGGGGTCGCCACTCTGTCAAAGCTGAGTAGCAGTTCTCTGCTAAAGTCTCATGGTGATTCTCTCTTGCAGGGCTGCTGTGTCTGGGTTTAAATCCCTGCACCAATCTAACTCTGCAGCCCCATTTCCAACTTCTCCCACAATCAGCTACACTTGCCAGCACTCTCATATCCTTCCAGCTTTACTGGGCTGCCATCGTGAGTCTGGGCAGGCGTGGCCTCGTCATGGAGCTAATCTTCTCCAAGCTCTCGTGAAGGTGCTGTAGCTCAGGGGACCTGCACCCCAGTTACGTCTTGTTGGGGAAATTACTTCCATTCCCCTGGCTCAGAGCAAGGCCACAGCTATTTAACATATCTATGCAACCAGTTAAAGGTTATAGATATGTTAAATGACCACACCACAGGTTAGCTGCAAAGCTGTTGCTATGCAAAACAGCTCTCAATGGCCCTGCTCCATTTGTCCCTTCCCCCAACCCACACCTGTGGGGGGCACTGAGGACATCCTAATATTTCCTGGACACCCTGAGTTCTGGGCCACATTTCAAATCCCTTTTTGGGGCCCCCCTCTTGGCTGCACCCTGTTACAATGCCAGGTAGCATTTGTTTTTCTATTTGCCTTACTTCACTTAGTATAATGCCTCCCAGGTTCATGTTGTTGTAAGTTGCAGGATTTCCTTTTTTCAAACTGAAAAATATTACACTATGTACATCTACTGTTTTCTTTATCCATTCATCGACAAGACACTTGTTTCCATGCCTTAGCTATTGTGAATAATGCCGCCATGAACATGGCAGTACAGATATCCCTTCGAGATCATTGCTTTTGTTTTCCTATGCACATATAGCTAGAAGTGGGGCTGCTGGATCATAAGGTAGTTCTATTTTTAATTTCTTGAGGAACCACCATACTGTTTTCCACAGTGGCTGCATCAATTTACATTCCCATCAACAGTGCACAAGGGTTCCCTTTTCTCCACACCCTCCCCAACATTTGTTTTCTCTTGTCTTTTTGATAATGGTCATTGTAACAGGAATGAGATAATATCTCATTGTGGGTTTTGATTTGAATTTCCATGATGATTAGTGATTGTTTTTTTGTTACTGAGTTGTATGAGTTTCTCATCTATACTGGATATTAACCTCTTACTGGATAAGTGTTTTGCAGATGCTTTCTCCCATTACATACCATATTTTTTGGACTGTAAGACGCACCCCCCAAATTTGGGAGGAAAATGAGGGTGCGTCTTATAGTCTGAATGTAGCCTACCTGGCTCACTGTGGGGGGTGCGACGGTGGAGTGGGGTCACAGGTTATTAAATATTTTACATTTTTTGCTTCAAAATTTGTTTCCCTATTTTCTTCCTGTAAAACCTAGGTGCGTCTTATAGTCCTAAAAATACAGTAAGATTGGTTTTTCATTTTGTTGACAATTTCCTTTGCTGTGCAAAAGCTTTTCAGTCTGATACTTGTTTATTTTTGCTTTTGTGGTCAGATTAAAAAAATCATAGCTGAGACAGAAGTCAAGGAACTTGATCCTATGTTTTCTTCTAGGGGGTTTTATGCTTTCAGGTTTAATGTTCAGGTCTTGAATTGTGTGTATGGTATAAAATAGGGGCCAGTTTTATTCTTTTGCATGTAGTTATCTAGTTTTCCCAACACTGTATTGAAGAAACTATCCCTTTCCTATTGTATATTCTTGGCTCCTTTGCTGAAAATTCATTGAGTATATATGCATGGGTTTATTTCTGGGTTCTATTCTGTTCCATTGATCTACACATCAGTTTTATGCCAATACCATAATGTTTTGATTACCATAGTTCTGTAATGTAGTTTGAAAGCAGAGCGCATGATGTCTCCAGCTTTGTTCTTCTTTCTCAAGATTGCCTTGGCTATCAAAGGGTCTCTTGTAGTTCCATAAAAATTTTAGGATTTTTTCCTATTTTTATAAAAAATTACATTATAACTTTGATAAGGATTGCATTAAACCAGTAGATTTATTTGGGTAATACAGCCACTTTAACAATTATTCAGATCCATGAACACAAAATATCTTTCCATTCATTTATGTCTTCTTCAATTTCTTTCATTAAAGTCTATAGTATCAGTATACAGATCTTTTACCTCCTTGGTTAAATTTATCCATATTTTATTCTTTTCAATGTTCTTACAGTGTTTTTAATTTGAATTTTTGAAATCCGGCCAAGAGTTGACCACCTTCGTGGGTCATTTCACCCCAAACCATTACATAGTTCCTACATCTGAGAATGTGCTCCCTAGAACGACCACCTTAGTTTGCTCTAAAGAGCAAGCTCCACCCAAACCTGACCTACTTAGACCAAAGTGTCACTTGCAAACACCCTATGCTGCAGGAAAAGCAGTGTGAAGATCTCTTAGCTCTCAACTGTGAGGAATCCTAGGTTACCCTGGCAATGAGGCAGAAAACTTTAAAGAGGCTCACCAGCAAAACAGAAAAAAGGCCAAAGAAAGCCCAACCTAATTTGTAAAATAAACAAGACTCTTTGATCTTATACAGTGAACGTTATAAACTTAATAAAAACTCTAAAAGGGAAATTCATGTGTATTATCTTTCTAAAAACAAGTCCTCTACATTGTAAAACATAAGATACTGATTAAAACTGGAGAGTCACTAACAAGGTTGCATCCATACAGTATTTACAAACAAGTCTTTTGTGAATGTAATTCTTCCTTGAACCTGTATTTTGTGTAGTTCTGATTCTTTGCATTCATGACTTCATCATATTACAGGATTGTGCTCTGGTTTTATTTCATCATCACCCTTCTACTTTTTTATATCGATTACATTTTATTTTTAAACACATATCTCAGTCTGATCATGCTTTAATATAAAATGTTTAATCATCATCACTTCTTTTAAAACAGGTACCAGAAATAAACTTTTAATAAGACAGAATTTTAAAAACAAAAAGCGGTAACTAGGACACAAAAGGTGCTCTGACAGCCAATCTAGTTTTGTGCATGAGAACAAACTAATAATTGAAGTTTAAGGGGTATTTTATATTTTATGTTTTTAGTTTTAAATATTTTTAATAATTATTTTACCCAGAACTCCTCAATTGTCCACAGACAGCAGGGGTCCAATTAGCTTATTTTCAAAAGCATTTGTTTCAATCAAGACAGCTGGCTAAGAAATACAACAAAAAAGAAACACTCAAAATGTGTATCCCAAACCCTTTTGGAGGCATTTAGTGAACAAGAGTCTCTCTTGCATACTAAGCAGGCCAGTCACACTTCTCCCAGTATTCATGAATAATGATGATTTGCTTCCCAAATTTCCCTTATGGTTTTGCAGTGTTCCATTTTATATGCACAGAAGTCTAGAACCAATCCTAATTCAGCAGCATTTGCAAGTAACTGAGACTATATTTTTCAAATACCATCTTTGCATAATATCATGATTAAGGTATAGTAGGGGGAAATGAGGGCTTAACAAAACCTTACTGAAACATAACTGAGAGTCTGCATGAAATCAGGAAGATCACAGAAATATTTAGTACCACATTTCAGGATTTCTGTTAAGTACTTTCAAAAGGTAGTGAACACTAAAAGCATTTAATATGAAAAGGGAAGTTGGATCATTGATTTTCTGAAAATTTCCCCTTCCAAAATATTAGACAAACACGAAAAAACTTGAGTTACATTCCTCCACATGTAAACCATTTGTCATCCATTCAAGATTTTTATACTTCATTTCTTCACCAAAAACCTCGTGATGTCGGATCCGTGCTTTGCTGCCAGAGATTGTCTTCTCACCTGACTCCTTTCCTTGGATTGCCTGGCAGTTCTCTAAAAGGTAAAAATAGGAATGTGTTCACATGTTGGGGAAAAAGTAGTAGCTACAGAAAGTCAAAAACTCTTTCTATTCTGCTAGTCTGGAAAAACTACATTATCACCACACTCACCAGTGCTTTGACATCAGGGGGCTACCAAACCACAAGCAGAGGACCCCAGTGGCTCTGCTAAGTGCCCTGATGTCCTAGGTTCACTTAAGACCAGATGCTGAGGAGAAAACACATAGCTTTGGGGGATGTCTTGCTACCCAGTGAGATCTGTGAATCCCTCAATTCGAGGGTTGAGGGGAGGAGGCTATGATTCTCCTCATCCAAGTGGGAGTCTGGGAGCTTTTTGGAATTTTCCAGAATGCAGCACATACAAGGCTCACCTCCTCCTTCTTCTTTGGAATTCCCAACCCAACAGTCAAACCAATGCAGAGAAACCAAATGAGATAGAAAAGAACTGAATTCTGCCATTCCCACAAATAAAAATTTTCATGAGAACCTGAAAAGTGATTACAAAAAGGGGAGCATTTTATTTTGCTATATCTTAATTCTCTTATTGGTCTTAAATGTGCTAGTAATGTGACCAGATGAGAAATCAGGACACATTTCCCCCCAACTGGAGTTCATGGACATTTGAAGTGATCCAGGTAGAAGGGTGAGGAAAGCAAAGAATGTTCAAATGGAAAACAAACAAAACTCCTGACTATATGACATATAGTATAAATAGTACATGTAGTATAGTATAGTAAAAACTATGTTTGTGAAGAGAGGAGTCTAAAATATTAAAAGAAGGCTAAGAAAATGCTCTTGCAATATGAATTCTGGCAAAAGATCTGAACAGACCTCAAAACTGTAAATACAATTGATCAGCATTTTCACAAACAGCAGGGTCTTCAGTAAACAAAATGGTGGTGGCCATTCTTCTCCCACTGTGTGGGCACTAATTAATGCAGTTAAACGAGCACTCGCCTTCACTGACGCCAGGGAGCAGCCTGACAGTGTAAACCTTTGGAAAACAGCTTGGAGATAAAAATACCAGCCTCAAAAATAACCAAACACTTGACTTAGTGATATTTTAGATCTGAGAATCTATCTTAAGAAATGACCTCAAAACATAAAAAAATGCTTGGCAACATTATGTATAAGAACTAAAAAGAATGTAAATAACTTTAATGTTCATCAGTATAGGAATGGCTAAAAAAACTATGGTACAGATCTACTCAACAGAATAATGTGCGGCCATTTTAGACAATAACATTGTGAATGCTTATAGAAACATGAGAAAATGCTTAAATCTGCCATAAGTGGAAAAAAAAAACATTAGATACCAAGTTGCATATTGAATATATGCTTCTTCTTAAGACTATCTCAATGGGCAGATATGGCTTCCTTTTGCTGGGCTGGCTGTTAAAACTTCGTCCTAGTTGACAAACAATACTATGTCATTTTTAAATAAAGATTTTATTTATTTTTAGAGAGAGGGGAAGGGAGGGAGAAAGGGAGAGAAACATTGATAGGTTGCTTCCCTACATGCCCTGACCAGGGACCGAACCTGCAACCCAGGCATGTGCCCCGGCCAGAATCGAACCGGCAACCTTTCGCTTTTCAGGATGATGCTCAACCCACTGAGCACGCTGGTCAGGGCTACTGTGTCATTTCTCCCCTCTTGTTTTAAGCAACAAGTAATTGCTCAAAGATGTGCCAAGGTTAATGGATTTCATACTTTGGCCAGGAATGTACTGTTTGCAATGTTGAATTGAATTGGTCCTAGAGATAATTTATTAACGTTCTTAGACATTGAAGGACATCCTTAGCTGTAAATGCAAACATATGTTACTGCCCCAGTTCACCAAACTTCTAGCTTGATGGTCTGGGTCTTTTCAAGAAATATGCAAATTGTATTCATTTTCATCTAGGTGGTGTGAAATTTCCTGGTTCTGGAATAAATTAGAAGGGAAGCAGCTTCTCTTTCACCTGTGACTGAGAAGTTAGGCCTTGAGAGGAAACACGAGTGTTAGGTGATGAAAGAAATAAAACGCATTTTGGATCCCAAACCAGAGATACGGATTCACCAACAGCATCTTCCACGCTGGTGTGCACGATGAGTAATTTAAGTCCCAGGATGGGGTCAAATGTGTCTGAGAGCTTCACTGACCTCTCTGTGGCAGAGTGTGCAAAGAGTCTGCAGGTTGTCCAGGGAGCACTGTCCTCCTCCACCAAACACCGGCTTGATGTGGTCCACCTGCCAGAAATGCCCTTCCCCTGGGTTTCTTATCATTTCATTAAGCTGCAATAAGAACACAAGATCAGCACCTTTTCACATACACTGTGGGAACTGTTGGTTTGGCATTGTGCAATCATGTTTCTAAAGCAAAGTCAGAGGGAAAAATACATTAGAATGTCTTTTTATAGCTTTTTTTTGTGAATAGGAAAAAGCCTTAGGTTAGCAATTTGAAAGCAATAAAACGTGTTCCTGAAAAAGTTATTTTTCCCTTACCTAACCCTTTCTGAAAAATTATAAGCAAGTATGAAATACCAACACTCCTGACAGATTGGGAAAAATCAGTTGCTTCTGCACTTTGGAGATACTTTACATAGTCACTAAAAACAAAACTGAGAAATGAATAAGAACAGATTAGTAACTTAAAAGTTCTGAATATTACTGACTCGAACAATCTATAATTGTTGACCTAAATGCATTCGTTTCTATACCAATGAAAGTTTAATATTAATAGCTATCACCGGGAACTTTTATGCTATTCATCTGAGAATCTCCCAAGTAACATGGGCTGGTATAGTATTTCTAGAGCAAACTTCTATAAGTCGCATATTTTTAATAAACAAAGATGTCCATTTAAAGCAGGCATGGTTTAGGCCGTCCACATATGCACACTTTATATTTAACCAATGATGACTTACATTCAAATGGAAAGTATTTTAACATTTTACCTAAGGTAGTAAAACCAGCTCACAGCGTAGCTGTGCAGTTGTTTAAATATCACGAGGATGAGTGTGAAGGATGGTTTTATTTTTTCTTGGTCTTGAACAAGGAAGACATTATAACCAACTTCACAGCTGACAGCCGTGGGAACCTGTGTTGTAGCTCTAAAGCACTTCTAAGGAAACTTGTCAGACCTGTGACGGCACAGGGATGTGATAATGGTGCCCAGCCTGAGAGACGCCCCAGGTGGCAGCAAGCTGGAGCAGAAGATTTTGTCCAGCTGTGGCTGGCATTGTTAGAAGCAACTACAAATGGCAGTCTTATGGATCTAGCAAATGGCAAATTCTTAGGGAAAAAATCCATTTTGGTATTACCTTTCATAACCAATTCTTTTGCTTTGAACAGTCTATATTTTGACAGACTCTATGATCCAAAAGGTGTTCCTTTATTCTTCCTAGTAATTAACAAATCGCTTGGGGCCAGTCTTCAACACGCTAAATTCACCTGTTGAAAGAGTCACTCCCTCTCAGACTGCTCCTGTCCCACCTGAGCCCAGTGGTGCTCCCTATCCTCTGAGCACTTTGTTTTAGATGTATATGAAGTTACTTCTGCATTCCCAGATATGCTGCTTTCAGGACATCCTTGAGTTCTTCCATTGTGTGTCTTCTGGAAGCCTCCACCGAGGCAGCAGACGACAACTAGAGTCTGGGTGGCACCCCTGGGGTGGGTGCAATATACCCCTCAATAATCAGACCAAAGGATGTTTCAGGAACTCAGGATGCCATTTAAAAAGTAGTGTATTTCCCTAGTTCTCAAAGTCATGGCAATTCAGCTTTGCAGAAATGCTTATTAATTCTATCATAATCCAGAAATAGTAGGTAAATAAAAATATATGATCTGACCAACTGGCAGGAATTTATCCAACATTTTAGTGAGCAGAGAATGGCTCAGGAGTGATTTTTTTTAAAAATTAAGCTCACTATAAAATTACATATCTTGCTTTAGCTTGGAATTTAGAATTGACTAGATCACAACATTAGAAATCCAGTTGAGTTCTGGGAATCAAAGTGAATATTAATGAGTCTAAGAAAAACTGACGGTGACCAGAGGGGAGTGGAGAGAGGGATAATGGGGAAAGAAGGGGAAGGGTCTAGTCAAGGAACAAGTGTAAAGGACTCCTGGTAATGGACAACAGGGTGGGGACTGACTGAGGGAAGGGGGTTGGGGGTTGGGTGGGGCAGGGAAGAGCAACAGGGGAAAAATTGGGACAACTGTAATTGAACAACAATAAAAAATATTTTGTCATGACTTCTGGCCAAGATGGAGGCATAGGTAGACACACTGTGCCTCCTTGCACAACCAAAAGAAGGACAACAACAATTTAAAAACAAAAAACAACCAGAACTGACAGAAAATCGAACTGTATGGAAGTCTGACAACCAAGGAATTATAGAAGAAACACCCATCCAGACTGGTAGGAGGGGTCGAGACAGGCAGCCAGGAGGAGAGGACTCCTGGCAGAACAGTGGTGGAGGACTGGGGCAGGCAAGGTGCAGCTGGTGGATCCAGCAAAGCGGCAGATTGTAAAGCAGGGCAGACAAGGTGGTGGCTGGTCAGCAAGGCAGCAGCTGCTGGACAGGCAAGGTGGTGGCTGGTGGAGCAGTCGGTCCCACATTTGAGCAGAGATATACCAGGAGGAACAGCTGGGGAGCGAGGCAGACCTTGCAACCTGGGGTCTGAGCGCGGGGAAATAAAAGCCTCAAAACACCAATTGAAAACACCTGTGGGGGTTGAGGCAGCAGCGGGAGAAATACCCACCCTCAGAGGAGAGTTCATTGGAGAGACCCACAGGGTGTTAGAACATACACAAGCCCACCCACCCAGGAATCAGCACCAGGAGGGCCCAGTATGCTTGTGGGAAGTGGGGGAAGTGACTGAAATCTAGCAAAGAGTGGAGCAAGCGCCATTGTTCCCTCTGGACCCCTTCCCCACAGACAGCTTCACAACACAGCAATATGGATTGCCCCGCCCTGGGTAACACCTAAGGCTCTGCCCCTTATACATAGCTGGCGCGCCAAGACAAAAAAAAAAAAGGCCCAAATGGAAGAACAGATCAAAGCTCCAGAAAAAACACAACTAAGTGACGAAGAGATAGCCAGCCTATCAGATGCACAGTTCAAAACACTGGTAATCAGGATGGTCACAGAATTGGTTGAATTTGGTTGCAAATTAGATGAAAAAATGAAGGCTATGCTAAGTGAAATAAAAAAAATGTACAGGGAACCAATGGTGATGGGAAAGAAACTGGGACTCAAATCAATGGAGTGGACCAGAAGGAAGAAAGAAACATCCAGTCAGAAAAGAATGAAGAAATGAGAATTTTTAAAAAATGAGGAGAGTCTTAGGCACCTTCAGGACAGCTTTAAACGTTCCAGCATCTGAATTATAGGGCTACCAGAAGGAGAAGAGGAAGAGCAACAAGTGGAAAAGTTATTTGAACAAATAATAAAGGAGAACTTCCCCATTCTGGCAAAGGAAATAGACTTCCAGGAAGTCCAGGAAACTCAGAGAGTCCCAAAGAAGTTGGACCCAATTAGGAACACACCAAGGCACATCATAATTACATTACCCAAGATTAAAATGAAGGAGAGAATCCTAGAAGCAGCAAGAGAAAAGGGACAGTTACCTACAAAGGAGTTCCCATCAGACTGTCAGCTGATTTCTCAAAAGAGACCTTACAGGCAAGAAGGGGCTGGAAAGAAGTATTTCAAGTCATGAAAGGCAAGGACCTACATCCAACATTGCTCTATGCAGCAAAGCTTTCATTTAGAATGGAAGGGCAGATAAAGTGCTTCCCAGCTAAGGTCAAGTTAAAGGAGTTCATCATCACCAAGCCCTTATTATATGAAATGTAAAGGGACTTACCTATGAAAAAGAAGATAAAAAATATGAACAGTAAAATGACAGCACACTCACATTTATTAACAACCACACCTAAAGCAAAACCAAAAGCAAACTAAGCAAACAACTAGAACAGGACCAGAACCACAGAAATGGAGATCACATGGAGGGTTAGCAACAGGGGAGTGGGAGGGGGAGTTGGGGGAAAAGGTACAGAGAATAAGAAGCATAAATGGTAGGGAGAAAATAGACAGGGGGAGGGTAAGAATAGTATAGGGAATGGAGAAGCCAAAGAACTTATATGTACAACCCATGGACATGAACTAAAGAGGGGGGGGAATGTGGGTGGGAGGGAGTGTGCAGGGGGAGGGGAATAAAGCAGAGGAATGGGACAACTGTGATAGCATAATGAAGAAAATGTATTTAAAAATATTTTGTCATAAATTCCTTCACTAAAATTGTCTTTTACAACAGATGAACATATATGTTGCTTTCTCATTGCACTGAATTACATTTTAAGGTTATGTGTTTGCTCTTTGTCACTCAATATTAACGTCATGAAAAGTGGAACAACTGAACCATGGGTGTTTTTTTTTTTTTAAGTTAAAGTTATTGGGGTCCTGGCCAGGTGGCTCAGTTGGTTGGAGCATTTTCCCATACACCAAAAGGTTGGGGGTATGATCCCTGGTCAGGGTACATACCTAGGTTGCAGGTTTGATCCCCAGTTGGGGTGTGTGCAGGAGGCAACTGATGTTTCTCTTTCACATTGATGTTTCTCTCCCCCCACCCCCCACTACCTTCCTCTCTAAAATCAACCAAAAACATATCCTTGGGTGAGGATTTTAAAAAAATATTATTGGGGACATGGAGAAAAAGGGCCCCTTGTAAACTGCTGGTGGGAATGTAAGTTGGTACAGCCACTATGGAAACAGATGGGGGTCCTCACAAGTGCTTCTTGATGCAATGTATCACCTGCTAAGGTCTCTTTCCCCAGTAATTTAATCAGAATCTAATTAAGCCTCTATATCTTATAACCATTATTCTGGAAATCAGGGGCATGGAGAAACATGTCAGATAATACCATGAGAATACAGGGAACAAGTCCAGGATGTGGAAAATCCTACATGCCAATCACCCAGTTTCTTGAACAATCAATGGTGTAAAAAAAGAATGGGGTGACATATAAGAGGGACACACAAAAGAAACCAGAATTATCTTCTGGAGGGCAAGCCCCTTGTAGTACAAGCTGCTGCTAGGTGAGTGTTCTAGAAATTCATCTGTATCAGTGTAACAGCTGGCGTTGCCGTGAGAGGCTGTGTTTGGCCTCAGCAAATTTTTTTTGAAGGCTCAGTGCATTTGCCCATTTCACGATGGGTGATTTACAAGCTCACATGCTCATATCCGCTAAGTGTTGGGCAGTTTTTGATCAAAACCGGTATGATCCCCCAATGCCCTCCCCTCCCTAACACCTGATCTCACCCCAAGCTATTTTTTTTGTTGTTTCCCTGCATGAAAAATGTCCTCAAAGGGAAATGTTTGGCCAATATGGAAGAGGTAACAAAAATGACAGAAGCACTGAAAGGTATCAAAACTGACAAGTTCAAAAACTGACTTGATCAGTGGAAAAAACGTCTTGATAGGTGTACTGCATCAAATATAGAGTACTTTGAAGGTGACTGACATTTAAACATGTAAGAATAAATACGCAATTTTTATAAATAAATTCTGTTTTTTGGGGGGACTCCCTTGTATGTTAAAGGGACCATAGGAGGTACAATGACTAAATGCAATGTGTGGGTCATATCTGTGTTCTAGTTTTAATAAGACAGCTACAAAAAGATATTTTTGAGACAATCTGGGAAAACAAATATGCATGTACTAAAATCAAGAAATTTTAATTATGTTGGGTATGATAATGGGTATTGGGGGTATGGGACTATAAATCAAAGACAGAAAGAGGGAGGAAGGGAGAAAAGGAGAGAGGGAGAAGTTCTATCTGTGAGAGATACATAATGAATGTATTTCAGGATGAAATGAAATGTTGTCTAGAATTTGCTTTAAAGTTATTCCAAGGGTGAAAAACAAAGAATTGAGGTAAGGGATTGATGAAAATGAAGGCAAAATGTCAATAACTGTTCAAGTTGGGTGATGGGTATATGAGTTCATTATTCTCTCTACTTTTGTATATATATTTGAACATTCCCATATTAAAATGTTAAAAGGAAAGCGAGTCAATATTCATCATTGAGTACTATGCTGCCTCCTATCTGTCACACAATTATAATTTACCTGTTCTAAAGGGAGCTTTGAGATCCAGGTAATATCCAGAAGACTCTTCCGCTGGCATTTAGGAGCATCTCTCAGACGTAAAAAGAGTTCTTGTGCATTCAGATTACATAGCTGACACACACCATGTTCAATTTCAAATACTTTGGCTCGTAGGTAACTGTTATGAGAACGAATCCAAAACTCCTCCTGACATTTCAGAGAGCAAAACCGTGAGTCCCAAGCATTGACTTTACACTCTTGCTTAGTTTGGCAAGTGGGTTGCTGACAGAGAAGGCAAAGTGGGTTTCCTTCATTATCCACAGCTTGCAAATAGCCCTTGGATGTAGAAGGCTTCACAGTGGGATCAGCTTGGGTTAGGCAGGGATTTAGAAATGGGACACAGGCTCCATCTTCAAGAAAGTTTCTAGAATTGAACAAAACAGATAATAATACTTACACTAGTCTAAACAGGCATAACTTCATATAAAGGTATTCAAAATTTCTATGCCGATAAACAGTAAACATAGGACCCACAGATTCTATGATTCACTGTGGAAATGAAGCGGCTGCACTCAGCACTCTATACTCCACGCCAAATAAGGGAAAGAATTGTGTGTTTAAAAAAATTAATTTAAATATAAATATGCTACCTCTCTTGAGCATTTAGATATCTTCAAGTTAAACAATCAGACTTTGAAACATCTGGAGAAGTTAGAAAATGCTTCTTCAGGCTGGAAAAGGACAGGCTAATGTGATATCATAATCAAAGTTAGTGCTATCATGCTCTCCAGGTGCCACACACCTCTTTAGGACAGAGGGACCATTAGTAAGACTTTCATGAACCCCTTCTTCCAGGCTCTGCTGGCCTACAGAACACAGTGTCATATCCATCAAGTGCCAAAGCCAAGTAGCCAAAAAGTCTTAACAGAAATTAGAACTGAAGAACTAGATAAATATTGCCTCCTAAAGGTAAACTCAGAGTCTGACTGACTTAAAATTAGAAACAAAACACTACAGGACATGTACTCAATTTGTTAGAATAAAAGGAAATAGTATATTACTCAATTATGTTGAAAAGCCCTACACAGGAATCACAACAACTACTTTAACTGTTTTCTATGGCTGCTCATTAGACGTGTTAAAACAAAAGCTTCTTATGCAAGAAAGAGCTCAGAGCTCTTAGGGGGGTAGAGCCTGTACTGAACCTCAGGTTTCCTGGCATCTTAGAGGCCTGGGGCAGGTCACTTACTCCACTTGGTCTTAGGACCCTAAAAATAGCCTTCTGGTGTCTAATTTCTAAGGTGAGGACATCATGTGCCTCACAGGGTTGTTGGGAGGACTGAAGAACTACTGTATTATGAAAGCTCTTTATAACCTGTAAGATGCCAAAGGTAAACTATTATTACAAAAATGAATACAAAGATTTAAAGGAGTAGTCTTAGTACTGCTATACCCTATAGTAAATAAACCTTACTTTGTAGAAGTGTCTTGTGGCCTGGCCTCCTTTGTGATCAGACGGAGATGGCCCCCATCATTCTTCACCTTGTCCATTGAGGCCACAGCAACATCTTCTTTGGTTATATATCTAAAATAAGGACATGTTAAGTGGATTTCCTCACTCTTGTAAGAGTTTCTCTATTTCACAGTCACACTGCTCCTTGCAAAAGCAATAGGAGAGGCTCTGGCCAGGTAGCTCAGTTGGTTAGAGTGTCAGTCATATCCTGATATGCTAGAGTTGTGGGTTTGATCCCCAGTTGGGGAACATAAAAGAATCAACCAATAAATGCATAAACAACAAATCAATGTTTCTCTTTCTCTCTATCCCTTCTTCTGTCTCTAAAATCAATAAAAAGAATTTAAAAAGCACTATGAGAAAAAGCAAGATACCATCTATTTGGTATGGTGATGCTAAAGTTAGGGAACGAAATTTTCTCCTTTTATGTTGGTCTCCACGTGTAGGAAACACTTCCACATTAGTTTTCTCAAGACTTATTTTTGTAAGAAACTCAAGAGTCATTCGACACTCTATGGACCAATTTTTACTTAGACGAAAAAAGGAGCGGGTGTAGGAACAAGAAATGCTCAAATACATGCACAACTGGCAGCCTTAAATATATAGCTTAGCACGCTGTGCAGAAAATCTCTAATTGCATTTTAACCTTTCTTGGCCTTCTCTTCAAGGTTCCTCAGATCACCTTGATCAGCTATAATAGTGTGTGTCAGCATTCCAGGTAAAGTGATTCTCTTTTTAAACAGGTTCAATCACATCTTCTATATCAAGGTTGTTTCCATTATTATCAGCCCATATGGGGTTTATGGAATCATCCACTAAAGTGAAGCCACTCTTGACGTGGGATTCAAAACCTTATTACACAACACTATCAATACCACACAATGGTTAGGGACTGGAAGGAAAGAGGAAAGTTATTCCAATTAAAGGTGACAAGGGAATTTAAGTAGGTGAAATGCAATTACCCAATTAAGTCCTTGTAATTAGCATGGCCCAGTTTCTCTGGTAGTTAATACTGATTGTAGTTTTTTAAAAAATCAGTTTAAACATAAATTTCTTCATATGTTTGAGTACTTCATTTGGGAGCTTGACAATAAAATCAAAGTTAAATCACAATGGAATTGTGTAAGTGTAGGTAAAATTTTAGAAATTTTCTTTTATGTTAAGGTAGATTTAATAATGAGCAGATTTCCTTCTTCTTATAAACTATATTATTATTTTTTCAATTAGGTGATACATACTGCACATACTTCAAAATTCAAAACACATGTAAAAGTATGTATGGTGAATAAGTTTCCCTTCCATTCCATCCTTTTTACCTCCCCCAAAGCAACCTCTGTTGCTAGTTTTTAAGTTATCCTTTTAGAAATAGTTAATTTTTTTCTCTATATAGATTATCCATTTTATTTGTTTATCTCTATATATTTTATTTTATAAAAATTTTTAATTTATTGATTTTTAGATAGAGGGGTAGGGAGGGAGAAAAAGAGGAAGAGAAACATCAATGTGTAGCTGCCTCTTGCATGCTCCCTGATGGGAACCTGGCCCTCAACCCAGACATGTGCCCTGACTGGGAATTGAACTGGCGACCCTTTGGTTTGCAGGCTGGTACTCAATCCACTGAGCCATACCAGCCAGGGCTTATATCTGTATTTTTATTGACACATAACTGGTGCCACTAAATTTAACATTTTAAATTTTTACACTTCAGTGCATTTTAGTATATTCACAAGGTTGTACAACCATCACCACTACCTAATTCCAGAACATTTTATCACCTCAAAAAGAAACCTGAACTCATTAGTAGGCACTCCCCATTATACTCTTTACCTTTAAAAACAAAATGGTAGCATCATATACACATTAATCTTCACTTTGATGTTTTTACCTAAACATCCATCTCAGAGATATCTATCTCCATAGTAGTATACAAAGTTGCCCTATTTTTCAAATCGTTGCAATATTCCCTTATTTGGGCAAACCATATAATATATCTAATCAGCCTCTGATTAATGGGCATTTTGGTGGTTCCAGTCTCTGCTATCCCAAACAATGCTGTCCTAAATATCCCTATCTGTGATATTTTCTACACACGAAATATATGTAAAATAAATGCCCAGAAAAACTGTCAGGTCAAAAGTCTTGGGCACTTTAAATTTGGATAGGTTTTGACATATTGTTTTCATGTGGGGTTTGCTCCAACATACAGGTCCACCAGAAATTAATAAGAGTACCTGTTTCCACAGACTTTCACCAGCATAAGGTACTTTAGTTAAAAACTTTTCTGCTAATTGTGATAGGTATCTCATTATAGCTTTAAATTTGCATTCTCCTGTTAAGGGTGATTGTCTTCTCATACATTTGCATTTCTGCTGTGTGTCTTTCTTAAAGCAACAAAGAACCATAGTGAATTCTTTTAAAATTCTCTAACTTGCCCTTTTAGTTCTTAAACTCCCCTGCCCCCCATTTCTTCAACCATTTTATTCCCTTGACAAAAGTACTTCAACTAAAGTATTTCGGTGGATTCTAAGTGGAATCAAAAGCTTCCTGGCTTTAAGGAGAAAGGGGATATTAAGGGCCTTAGGTATTATTCAATGTTTAAAAGCTTAGAAACCTAACTCAGTAACTTTAAAAGATGCTGAGAAATCTATTCAGAGATTTAAGAACTAAAAATAACCTTTCCTACAAGAGTTTTAAGCACAGATTTTTGGAAACCATAAGGAACAATCAACTCCAAATCAGGTGGGGGTTGAAAACTTTTCAAACACAGTTGTGAGTTACCAATATTTAATTTTCCACTGAGGTTTGATAGGAAGTATATCAATTCTCAAAAGGATTATGGTAAATCCCCCTCTGACAAGTAGAAAAGGGAGAATGTTGTGTACTAAGTAATTCCTGGATGGGGATGCGAGCAGGGGATGGCAAGTTTTGTAAGGAGAGAGGAGTGTGCGTTGGAAGTGGTCCCCGCCAGTGAAAACACTGCTCGGCTCTAGGTTGCTGGCCTGTGTTGCAGAGGAGCTGTGGCCAGAAGAGAAATATTTGTCATCTTAAAGCCAACAGGGCTCCCAATGAATCAGGCCTGCCTGCCTCTGAAAAATGGGAACTCACTTAGGAACCAAAACAATGGCTGGTAATCTTGCCTTCCATTCACATTTGAAGGTGAGCTACTCCAAAGCTGACTGTGAGCCCTGAGCTTGGATGGGCCTGAAAACTGGTGGACACCACTGGGGGACAGTCTGGTTGGAGATTTAGCCATTGATTTTGGGGTATTCCTAAAAATCAGTATCTATTTGTCTTTATACTGAGGCCATTCCATCTTTTTTAGAGATGAATCTTTTAAACTTCTGCTTAGGAAATAAAATGTGGTTGCTGGTATTCTGGAAGTTGAGTGAAGACTATGGAAACTGTTCAGTTTCCCAATTATGCCTCTTCATTTATGTCCACTGAGCCTGGTGCTTCCAAGCCTGACACCCTTTTGGTTCATTTTCTCTAGAAAGTAACATGCTAGGACAGTGGGGAAAGACATCTAATATCTAACCTTCCTCATACAAACTTCCAATCAGTGCTGTTGTGCAGCTCCATCCCTCACCACATCTGCTTCCAAAGAGACATAGATACTCCAGTTTACTGAGACTTGGCTTCCATGGCGAGAATCAGCATGCTTCCTCAAAGCACCGCCCCTCTACAGGCATGCAAGTTTCACTGTCATGACTCTGCTAAGTCAGTTTCCCTGGAGTCCTCCCTCTCTCTATATCAATGACCAAGACTGATCAGAGCTACATTTTTAATACTTCTCCTCCTTTTCTTTTCTCCTTTCCCATGGCTAGTGCCTTAATGTAAGTCCTCATCATTTTCCCCACCCCCAGGTTTACTGTAACAGTATTTTAATGTGTGTGTGGTAAGCGGACTTTTAAAGACATCTTCCTAGGATTCCTGTCCCTAGTATTCAGTCATTCAACTAGATAATGCTGTGAAGGGACTTTGCAGATGTAATTAAGTTTACCAATCAGCAGACCTTGAGATAGGGAACAATTTCCAAGCACAGGGAGTTCACACAACTTTGCCGGTGCTGAGATGGAGGGGTCCTTGTGCTACGCTAGAAAGAAGCTTCTAGAAGCTAAGAGTGACCTTCAGCTGACAGCCAGCCAAGAAACCTAAGCCCTACAACCACAAGAAACTAAATTCTGGCAACAACCTGATTCTAGCCTTATAGAATCCAGAACAGCAAAACTAATAGAGCCAACTCAGACTTCTGACTTATAAAACCATGAAATAATAAACTGCTGTTGTTTTAAGCTGCTAGGTTTGTGATAATTTGTTACAGGGGCAATAGAAAACTGACTCAACTTGTCTCCTCAATTCAAGTCCTGCCCTTCCAATCTAATCTTCCAACTGCTGTCTAAAGTGGGCTCTTAAAAATAGGAGTCCAATTATTTACTCTTTTGCTTGTTAACACAAGTGCTATCTGTAAGATATCATCTACATATATCGCATAAATAAGACTGTGTGTCTAACTTTGGTTTGTATCAATTTTATGACTTGCTTTTAGCCTGATCAGGAGGTTCTTTGTCAGGAGGTTCTTTAAAGTGGCCATTCATGTCTGATGGAGAAGAAACAATGGGACTTGTCTAGAATGGCAATAAATTCAGTGAAGAAGGGTATTATGATTATGCAAAGAGAAGACCAACACTTCAAGTAAGGCTGTGATTATAAAAATGAGAAAATGGAGAGGACTGGAAGAAGTATTGAGAAAAGTAAACTAGACATCATGCTTTTTGTAATGTATGTATGCATATATGTGTGTATATGTATAAGTACACACATATATTTTAAATGTATTTTTATATGAAGTAATATATGCTCATGAGAAAAATTCAATCAGTACAGAAGGGTTAGGCATGAGTCAAAAACTGGCAGCTCATAAATAAATCCAACTCATCAAAGGGTTTTATTTGACTCATACAGTATTTTATTTTTAAACCTGAATTTCAATGATGTTAGATGGGTTATGCACTTTCCAATTTGCCATAGTTCTATCTCCTACTCCATCTTTTTCTAGTTTTACACCTGAGTTCATTTGTTCATTTATGGTTCCTGCTTTGTTTTCCATCATTAGTTTGTGATCCTAACATAAAGTATAAAGCCCCTACCATCTCTAGCATAAAGCATAAATCCCCTAATCATACGGTCTAGAGCAAGATTCCTCAATAGTTGCATTACTGACATTTTGAGACATAATTCTTTGCTGGGGAGTGCAGTTCTATCCACTGCAGGATTTTAGCAATATCCTAGGCCTCTAGCCACTAGATGTTGCCCTGTTGTAACCCCTAATTTCGACAAGCTAAAATGTCTCCTAACACTGCCACCCGGGGAGAAAAACCGCCCCCAGTTGTGAACCACTATCCTAGAGAAACCTCTGGGAAGATTTTCTAAGGTATCCTTCCAGACACTTTCCATGTCAATAATAGCAATTACATATATTTGTGTCTCCATCCTTTTTTAATACTTATTTACCGTTAATAATTTATCACAAGTATCATTTCTTATTTTTCCATAATAATATGCCATAGGCTATATTTTGAAACAACTGGAGACTTTTCACTATGTGGGGCTATAATTTAATTAACCACATCCTCTCATATGCCACTGATGATTTTTTTCACCTGTGTGCAAAAAAATGCTAGAGATCACAAAATAAGGGCACATGGGGATAAAGAGAGATTATATATGTATGGAGACAGCCAGAGCTACAGGGGATTTTTCTGCCATGTGGCTGTTGGTGTCTTGTGCTCTCTTCCAAAGCAAGAGTAGGGCAAAAGGACAGCTGACTGTGCTTCCTGAGAATCTGCCTCATGCTGAGGAAAGATCTACAGAAAATGGGGATCACATGAGGGGATACCTGGGTGAGGCAAAGATAATTATGATGCTAAGAAAGGACACTAAGTGCACAGATGTTAAAAAGGGACCTGTAATGATAAAGGCAAAACAGCTACAAACATTAAGACCCTTAACCTTTCATTTTGTTTCCAACCACAGGCATAAGACTTGCCTTCCACCACATGGGTGGTGGTGCGTCAAATAGAACCAGCTCCCCTCCTGCAGGACACCCAAGACTCACATCCCAGAAGTGCAGGACAGATGGGGCCCAGGGGTGTGTTCTGTTGTTCTAACAAGGAAATGTCTTCCTGTTGTGAACAAGTGTCCCAGGCTGGGCAGTTCATAGACTGTACCACCCCGTGGCTCTGGCCTCTCTGCTGGTGAGTAAAAGTTATGGTGAGAAAGGTCCAGATGACCTAGTCTTCCCAGCAGATTTGACCAAATTCACCAAATAGCTAATTATGTTGCTATAAAATAAGCTGTCATTTTATGTGTGATTTTCTCTTTACTCATAAGGATTTCATTAATGGTCACATAAATATCTCAGACTCACCCCCTCATAGAAATGACAATGACAAGTAATAAAATACAAAATAAAAAGAGAAAGACAACTCATACCTTTTTGTACTATTTTGTTTAGTTTGTTGCTTTGTGATCTCTTCGAAAGCAAGAATTGGGCTGCAGAATAGCCGTCCGCTTTTCCTGATGATCCTTTGCTTCATGGCAGTTAGACTACTCCATTCTCGAACAAACCTCAAAATCTGGCAGAAAAGGAGACAATGAGAAGAGTGTACACAGCTCACCAGTCATCTTCCCTTGAAAGTGAGGCTACTTATAGTATCAGAAAACTGATGTTCTATTATATTCCCCAAACAGGTTTTGAGTTTCATAATTTAGTGCTTTCTTCCATTTGATGCAGCAGCAATGTGCTCAGTGAGATCGAAAGAGGCCTGGCTGTTGGAAGCTATGGCAGAGGCAGAACTGGCCTTGGGGACAGCAGGCATGGCAGTCATGAGAGACTTACACTACAACATCTGAGAATCGCTTTGTGCCCAACGACTTGTCTCAGGAAAACAGCCATCAATAAACCTGGGACATTTTTATTAGAGTACCGTTAATCTTACTTATTTGTCAATTATATATAATGCTATTTTCTGGGACCCTGAGAATCAGGATTAGACGACACTAAAGAAAATATCTCACTGCTACCTCTTACTTTAAGGCAGGTGCAGCCGACCCATGGGCAATGTTTGATTCCCACTAAAAGGCCAAAATCATAATCATTGTTTTCCTGTAGAAAGTGGTACATTACATGCAGGCTCAGCCCCTGCACATGTTGACCCTTCTTAGCGATGAAGCTCAATTGGTCATAGATCAGAACTGAGGCATCCCTGGCAGGTACTTGGCCTGCAGCCGCATGCTGGTGCTTCTGACAGAGTTGAGAGTCACCCAGCATGGTCTTATGGTCTTTTCATTGCTCTCAGAATTTGTCATTGTTAGAACTTAACCTTCAAAGATAAATTGTGATTCTGTCAGATACAACTATAGCAGTTACTACTACTGTGCATGAGAAATTAAATGATGTGAGGACGATTCTATCCACAGAAACAGCAACCCTAGGTGTGATCGCTCACCAAGGAAACGGATTTCACACATATTCTTAGCACCAGGGTAATTCATAGGCACTGCCTGGACTGACTGAAATGCAGCCAGTGATGTGATGCTGCATGGTCCACAAAGTACTCTGCTTTTATTAAACTCAAAATGGCTGTTAAAATTACTCATATTTTAATTTAAAACAAATTTACAGAACTATACTTACCAGAGATCGATTTTGTTTCAGCTCAAAGCTTGCAGGTAAATCTTCCCAAAGGTCTAATTTTATATCCAAAGGAATGAAATTACAGTTCATCTGGTTTCCATCCTGATTATAGATTAAGAAGCATTATTAATCCACTTTGTCTGTAGGCACTAGAAATTATTTTAAAAGTAAAGAATGATATTATGACATAATATGCCCTGTCTCCTATAGGATAAACGGAGGTGGCACATTCTAGACCAGGTTCCACCCACACAGCTCCCCTGAAAGGACGCTGAGTGGAGGAGAGCAGGCTCCCCACTGCCCTCAGCGTGCCTCCAGCGCACTCACCGGCACGGGTGAAAGCACCACGCTGAGGGGTGTGGTCAGTTAAAGGCAGGTTTAAACATGAAGTATTTCTTTTATAAAGGGGAAGAATCATCCCTGTATATGAAAATATATTATAGCAACAATAATTGAACCCACATTCTAATTCTCCCAGCTACAAAGAAATGCTAGCTCCCACAGTTGCTTTGAAGAAAACACACAAAAGTAATTACATACAGATTAAAAATTTAGATATATAATTGTTATTCTAAACTCAGACTTGAGATTCTGACTGAAACAGTTATTTAGAGTTATAATGTTAATATGATATAAATTGCTACATATCTGTTACTGTTCTTCCTTTTAAGGGGTATTCTTTTGGGTAGTGAGCTGGGTTTTCATCCAAATTTCTACGTCAGTTCTTCTAAGGTAAAAAGGAAATATTTCATCTCTATTGAGGCTGAGAAAAGACCTATTAACATTTCATGTGCTTAGTGTTTAGAAAATTAACTGGATAATGTTTTATGGTAATGGGTCATGTAATTATTTAGAATAGTCATAAAAATGCACTGGAAACCATTGAGAGAGATTCCAAGAACAAGAGGTGGCCCCTGCCATACAGGCTGGGTGGCAGAGCTGGAAGACGGGTCAGGGAGGCTGTCACTGTACTCAGTCCGGCACACTGTAGCCTCTACCAGGAGTTTGCTGTTTTTCTCTCATCTCCACCCAAAAGGGAAAAAACACTAATTAGATGATTTAGGGTGCAGAACTTTCACTGTATAGAGTAAAAAGTTTAAGAGTTTAAGGGCTTCTGAATTCCTATGGTGCGCTCCATCTATTGCCCAGCTTTTAGGTTCTTGACCTTCAAGCTCACAGGGTGGGGAGAGGGGGTCAGTTCTCTGTTACTCTCTTCTGACAACAAGAGAAGCGGGCCTGGAGCTCTCTCCCCAGGGGATGAGGGAGGCTTGGACACTCAGATCTGCCTCCAGGCCAGCAAAGGAGTCCTTGGTGCCCCAAGTTTACACTTTCCACAAATGGTGGCCTGGGGCTCAGCCTTTAAGAGTAGTATGCTAATTGTCTGGCTTCATTCTTGGTGTCCCTCTCTTGGCTGTGGTCCCACAACAGATGCTGTGGACCTAGAATGGAGGCTGTTTGGGGATTTTGTATTCACGATCCTTGTCACCTCCTAATCTTCTATCAATCTTTTCCAACCTGGCAAGAAGGGGCTGGAAAGAAGTATTCCAAGTCATGAAAGGCAAGGACCTACATCCAAGATTACTCTATCCAGCAAAGCTTTCATTTAGAATGGAAGGGCAGATAAAATGCTTCCCAGCTAAGGTCGAGTTAAAGGAGTTCATCATTACCAAGACCTCATTATATGAAATTTTAAAGAGACTTATCTAAGAAAAAGAAGATCAAAAACATGAACAGCAAAATGACAACAAAGCCACAACTATCAATAACTGAACCTAAAATAAACAAAAACAAAAGCAAACAACTAGAACAGGAACAGAATCACAGAAATGGAGATCACATGGAGGGTTATCAGTGGGGAGGGGGAAGGGAGGATAGGGGAAAAGGTGCAGGGAATAAGTAGCATAAATGGTAGGTACAAAATAGGGGGAGGGTAAGAATAGTATAGGAAAGGGAGAAGCCAAGGAACTTATATATATTACCCATGGACATGAACTAAGGTGGGGGAATGGTGGTGGGAGGGGGTATGCAGAGTGGAGGGAAATAAAGGGGAGAAAAAAATAGTATAACTGTAATAGCATAATTAATGAAATATACTTTTAAAAGCTTCAAATATCATTTTACTATACTTATATAGATTAGAAATTTGAAAATGTAGTCTAAACAAAAGTATTTATAACCTCAACAAGTTGTTTTTCCTCAAATATTCATACCAGTTTACTGAGGCCAAAGATTCTCACATGGCCCCTGAGATTCTCTCAGGGGATCCACAAAGTCAAAAGTGTTCCTGTAATAATAGTAAAACATTATTTTCATTCTCATTCTGTCACAACTGTATTGTGGAGTTTTCCATGCACAGGCAGATATGAGAATCTGCCTTCCACTGTCTTCTACTGAGACTTTAGCAAAAATTACTAAAAATGTAAATATTCATTAAATATTGTGTTTGTTTTAGAAAATATAAATATTTTTCATGAAGATATGCTATTGATATACATATATATTATAGCTACTCTTAAATAAAATAATAAATGAATATGTTTAAGTGTTTCCATTTTAATTTTTAGATTGTAAATATCAATAAATATAACCCACATAAACAACAGCTCTTTGGGGTCCTCAACAAACCTTAGGAGTACAAAGATATCTGAGATGAAAAAGTTCGAGTTCCACTAACCTAGGCTATGGCAGGAATCTGAGTAACCTCATTATTAAATCTTCGTAGAGTTTAATGAACATGATGGGCAGGCTGAGGCTTCTGTAGAGATGCTGCCAGTGCAGGTGCTGATATTTAAAGAGAGTTCACTGTGGCTAGGCACTGTGCTGAGTGCTTTACAGGAATTAGCTCATTTTATCCTTGCAACAGATCCTCTCCACATTTTACAGTTGAGGAAATCTGTGTCTCGGCACAGATTTGAGCCCAGGCACTCTGGCTCTGAAGTCTGTGCTATTAACTATTGTGCCGTTTGCCTCTCTGATTTAACATCAGAATTTGATGATTAACTTTAAGAAGAAAAGGAAGTAGATGCCAAGCTCTTTGTTAATAAAATTAAATATTTAGTTGAAACATGAAAAAAAGAGAAGCTTTTTGTATGATTCAAGCAACAGAATCTGTGCGGTGCTTACCTTGGTGTAGAGGTGAATCCGGTCAGTATTCTTACTTGCACAAAACATTAAGGTATCATATACTGGCAGAGTATCAGAACTCTCCAACTGTTCTAATAAAGAAGATAAAAGAGTAGCTGAAGGCTTGTCTACTCTCTATCCAAAATAGTTTCTTTTAATCTTCTGTGGGTTAGAATAGTGAAATATAATTTTATCAAATATATGGACATATGTGACAAAGAACATGTATCTGGGCTTGAAATAAAACTCATGGTAGGCCACGTCAGAGCATATGGGCTTACAAGGGCACCAGTTGCTTTGCACTTTTGCTAGTGACCCAAAAAGAAAGAAACAAATTTAGAATTAATTCAGAAGTCACAAGGCAGGTACAAGGGAGAATTTCCTGCTCCCAAGAATTAAGGAGTCTAGAAACTAGACTTGCTAGAGCCAATTTAAGTGGAGACTGAATGAGCGCTGTTGTGATTATCAGCAGCAATCTGGCTATGCCAAGGGCCACGTAAGTGCCTGACTTCCTACGGCTTCATGCCTCACATTCAAAAAGGAAGCAAATAGACAAGCATCTTTCCTCACAATCCGTTTTTATTTATTCCTTTCTCAGTTCCACTGACCAATATATTCTGTAGGGAAGATAGGGTTATCAATGCTGATCTAAATAGTAATTATAGTTGATGCTTCCCCAGTACTTACAATGTTCCAGGTACTGGTCTAAGCACATATATTAACACCTCCCAGAAATAAGGAGTGAATTATACAGAGGAGGAAATTAAGGCACATTAACTTGCCCAAGGCCACACAATTAGGAAGAGGACTTAAGCCCAGGAATCTGGCTCCAGAGCTTGTGTTCTTCATCTTGGCCACATTTCCTCAGTGATCTTTTAAAGTATTTTCCCAAATCTAGAAGCATGTGATTTGTCTGCCATACTACTTGGCAATATCATCATACTTTTATTTTTCTAATCAAGGCTTTGGTTACTTTATAAACTTGGTGTGTGAATTATTCCCATACTGCACAAATTCAAAAATACATATTCCCCCCATACTTTTACACCTCTGAAATTGGCATGTCTTATAGTCAACAACAGTGGCTTTTTACAGTCATTGTTGGCCAGGTGGCAGCTGTGCAGTAGCTGGCACTGCCTGACCACACGAGAGCTTAGTCAGACTGGATATTCCTGTTACTTCAACATGGCATTTGAGGTACATGCACTGTTGTTACTGCATGTGTTGATTTTAATTACCTTTACAATGTGTTCAAAATGTCTATGATTTGGTATTAAAATGAAAAGTTATCATGTAAACGAAAAGAAACATTAGGTACAGAGCAGGAGAGCACATGTTTTGATATTGAAAGAAGCAAATCTGTATCACTGAAGGAATAACCATTTTTTTTTTTTTTGCAAATGAATAACCAAGTGCCTCATGGGACCTAAGAAAAGGAGATCCCTGTAGACAGAGGAAGCTGTCTTACATTTGGATACTGAGATGTACCAAAGGGTTGCTTATTATATACCAAGCAAAGACACTGAAGGCAGGAGAAACTGCTAAATCCTTCAGGACAAATGAAAGAAATATGAAAACAAGAGACGGGGATATGACTTGGTATGGGCTACCATGAACATATTGTCATATTTTGCCCTGGTTGGTGTGGTTCACTGGATTGAGTGCCGGAATGAGAACCAAAGGGTCACCAGTTCGATTCCCAGTCAGGGCACATGCCTGGGTTGCAGACATGTCCCCAGTTGGGAGCGTGTGAGAGCCAACCAATTGGCACATTGATGTTTCTTTCCCTCTCTTCCCCTCTTTCTAAAAATAAATAAAACCTTTCAAAAGAAAAGAAAAAGTGTCGAAGATCCTTGAAAAAAGATTGTCATATTTTAATTGGTAGTGCTTTTTCTTTCTTAATGTATATAAAATAAATGCCTCTCATAATCATTATGTCTTGAAAGAACTATGTTGAAGCACTAATGTGTAAAGATCAGATGTTATTCTTTGATAAAAAGCATTATAGGAACAATCCCAAATCTGTTGATTTTCATTATTCCCATAAAGTATAATTTAATGGTTTGGGACTAGAGATGATGTCTTTTGAAGATACAGCCACCCTTCTAGAACTCCAGAACTCTCAAACTACAGTTCCAGTGTAGTATGTACCAACTGAATTCTAAGAGCATGTATTCATGGAAAAACATTTTAACATAGCATGCCTCCTCTGTCTTCATTCTGTTTGTTTTCCATGGAAATTCATGTTGGTAGGGAGATGGAAAGCATACGGCTTATACGGAATTCTCAGCCCTGTGATCTGAGAAGTCTAAAAAGGAAGAAGAGATACACAGGTATACAGGGAAATGCTGGTGTTGTTGGAGTGGATGAGGCCTATGCAAATTTCACTGGCAGAATAGAATTTCTGAAAGTCTAGTGATCTTTGAGAAGTAAGTGTAAGTAAAGCTAGTATATGTCCTGATGAAGGGACCAATTTACAACTAACGAGCCAGTACTTCCCTGCCATAGATGAAGAGACTCATGGTCCTCAAGTGTCACGTTTAGTGCACCAAGGGTATGCTGTCCTAAAAGAGCTTCATCAGAACTTGAGGGACTGTTGCAGCAGGAACAAGGAAACCAGAGACACAAAAGGTATACCCCACCTGAGCCTAAACTGTCTACATAAAGGCCGTGAAAATTAACAAACTTAAACAGGATCCATTCCAAGACATTCTTTGGGAAGACCTTGAGAATTTAGAGGACAGGAAGGCTGAAGGAGGAAGAAAGGAGGATGTCCTTACTTAGGAAATTCTTAAATAAACATTTTATTTTAAAGTTACATATCTGACTCCACATCCTATCCATGTTTTAAAGTGACTAATTTGGAAGAAAAACTTCAACGGTTGATCCTAACAATTTTTGGGTTGTTATAATGAGAACATTGGTCAGGGAGTTACTATGGTCACTAACTGAATAACAAAGAAATAACCCAAAAGTACTCACAATCTCTTGCCAGCTGGCCCATAAATATAGCGATGTATGACATATAGGCTGGTATTTGCCAACCATCACAGCTATAAATAATAAGTGGAATCAACAAAAAGTAAATAAATCTGAAACACTACATGGTTGGCTCCAAGTGCAGTAATGATTCATATAGTCTTTTTTTAAAGATTATAGTATAGTTATATACAATATTATATTAGTCTCAGGTATGCAACATAGTTACTCAACATTTATGTATGTAATAAAGTGATCACTTAATTCATATAGCCTTGAAATTATGTTCCTTAAAAGCATTTTCTTTAATAAATATCCCAACCCTATATTTAAAATATGCCAATTAGTTGTACACATTTAAAACAAATTCATATGTAAAGAATTAATTATCTGCTAAGTGGCTGTTAATAATCTGTCAACGTTACTATTTGGCTGAAGAGCCTCCCAAATAACCCCCTCACTGTGTGAATGGTCCAGGCTTGGATGAGTCTGGGCAACAGGCCTGGGGCAGCATGTGCAGCTGTGCACTGGTTCAGCTTTCTGTGTGATGCCTGAATGCCAACGGCTCTGCTCTCCCAGCCACCTGGTATTTAAGTATGTGGTTTATATTTTTACTATAAATGAGAATACAAGGAACCCAGCACCAGGTAGTAATCACAAATCTACTAATTGTATTATGTGTCTGAGCACATGGTTATTATTTGGACACTAGAAATGGGAGCAAGTCTTACCATCACCTGGCTGAGGCATGTGTCCATCTTCCTTCTCGATTTTTGATATTTTTTCCTTGCTCTCAGCCAACGGTTCGGGTTCTGATGGGGCAAGAACTTGTTTCTCACATTCAGAATCAGTCCAAATTTTTCTGGACATGCCTTTCTGAGAGTCATCTTTCTCATTTCTGCTTTTATCCTGGGTATAGTTGAGGCTATCTATTTGTAGAATTATAAAAATCAAACAAATAATTTACACATAAAATTTAAATGCATTATTTACTCTAAGCCAGTTTAAAAAGGAAAGACATAGTAGTTCTTATAGAAAGAAACAAAGTCAACAATATTTGTTCATTCTCTGGAAACATTTATTGGAAGTCACTAAATACCGAGTACTATTCTAGGTGTTGGAGAGGAAACAAGGAACAAGAAGGTAAGCTCCTGCTTCCTGGAGATTCCATTCTAAGTGGTGGAGATAGACACTAAACATGAACAACTGAATTAGGGCCTTTTCAGATAAAGAAACTAAAACAGGGTTTTGTAAGTAAGGGGATGGGGGCGTGGGACAAAAGTCAGCAGGACCAAGCTCTTAAAGGAGTCCCATTTGACCAGAGAGCTGTCCAAGAAGCTAAGAAGCCTGGCCCCTGGACCTACATATTCTTGGATAAGATTCTAAATGTAGCTAGAAACCATTAGAGGGTTTTAGGTAAAGTAATACACTGATATAAGTTTTTAAAGGATCACTCTGGCTGCTGTATAGAGAAGAGCCGCAAGGGAGAACAACAGAGAGACTACTAAGGTCTGGGATGGAGAAAATAGTGGCTTCCAGTGGCATGGTAGCAATAAAGATAAATTGGCTAGAATCGAAATTATATATATATAACCTCTTATATATATATATATATATATATATATATATATATATATATATATATATATATATATATATATATATTTACACCAGTAAAACTTGATGGATTAAGTGTGGGAGAGAAAGGAACCAAGAATGCTGACTAGGTTTTCAGCATGATGTAGGGAAGACAGGGGGAAGAGAAGATTTGGATGTTGATGGTGAATTAAGAATTCCACTTTGGACATGTTAACCTTGAGGTACCCACTGGACATCCAGGCAGAGATGTTACATAGATCACTGGATATATCCAGTCTCCATTCAAGGGAGAGATATAAATTTGGGTGTATGAATGATGAGATATCAAGTATAAACTATAGATTTTAAGAACAAAGCATAAATGTTACATATTGACAAGTATTAGTGTTCATTATATATTATACAAAATTTTATCTAATGTACTAGAGCCTACATTAGCAACTTTTATAGGACTGTAATAGCCTAATATTGCTCCTTTAATTTTTGGATTCTACCATTTCCTCAAAGTGTTAAATAGCAGACAAGAACTTAAAAATTTAGGTGGATTAGAATTAATTCTGCAATTCAATACTTTTAGGGTATATCCAAATCAAGACTGGAATTCACTATGCCAAATTACAGTAATATTAATCTAATAACTTTCATACACAGTAATATCTGTTACTTAGAATATATTTCTCTTTAATTATAGTTCCATGTTCACAAAAGGTGTTTTGTTTTTGTTTAGACTGCTTGAGAGTTTGCCTCTCAAGGGTCTAAATCATGGGTCTAGAAACTTTTGTTGTTACTCTCAGCATCATTACAAAGAAAAATCAGAACTATATATGTAAAACCTTATTAAACTATAATTTTTGTTGTTAAACTGATCACCTTATAGAATTAATGTGAAGTGACATTATTGTGTTGTTATGAGATATTTAATTTTTATTGCCTGTAGCAGTTGGAAATTGAATGAGATAATACAAACTGTGAGAGAGATTATATGGAATAAGCTTGTGGTTCCAATTAAGTTCACGGACAACAGGTGTCCATGTTACAAATATAATCACCCAAAGGGCAGACTCGTCAGTTTTGAAAGAGTTTTAATTCACCCAGAATTGAAAGAGGAAAGACTCAGGTACTGATTACATTTTATTTCAAATCAAAATTAAGACAGAGGGAAGCAAGAAAGGCAAGAAGGAACTGAAGTTTCAGAGTGTATATCTTAGTTAAGATCTCTGAGTCTTTGTTAATGTTAATACTCTGAAGAATTCATATATACTAGAAAAGTAAATGTAAATAATTATACAATTGATAAAATAAAATGACTTCTTCCAGTCTCCAAAATTGTCAACTTAGCACTTTGAGTTACCATAAAAATGATCTCTAACATTGGGGAATTGGAAAGAAACAGAACACTAATGACCTTTTACCTAGGACAACTACAGGTATTAATAATCATTTCAAAAACAAAGCATCAGAAAATGGCATCTTACGCTATGGAAACATACTCTGAGGTATGTTTATAATTTCTACTTTTAAAAGAACATTTTTTTAAAATAAGAATAAGCTCATAAAACAGATATCCAGTTGATTGTTAAAGGAAGATCTACAGAGGAATTTTTATGATTATAATGCAAGAAACATGGCACCATGTGTATTTTACTAGGCAGAGAAGCTACAGTGGATTATTTTGCTATTTTAACAAAAGCAATCTATAATTTAAAAATAAGTATCAGAGGGGAGGGGATACAGGAGGACTGGGTAAAAGAAGGTGAAGGGGTTAACTAAAAACATACATACATACATAACACAGGCACAGACAACAGTGTGGTGACAGCCAGAGGGAAGGGGGCAGGGCCTGGAAGAAGGGGGACAAAGGGGAGGAAATGGGGACATTTGTAACAGGGTCAACAATAAAAATAAGAAAAAAATGAAAAAAAAAACCCCAAATATTATCTACAGAGTAAAGAAAATGGCAGGTCAATAACTATAAGGCATTTTTGCTGCTATAGCACATGGCTTGTATTTCTGCCCCCGCAATTCACAACTTGCTGGTATAATCAGAAATGTCCATTTGTGCCAAATGAATGCCATGTCACAGACACTGGTGGATATGCAATCTTGACAGAACGGGGAGCTTTTCACACTCCACAAGGGGTTGAATTCACTTCAGTCTGTGAAGTTGTCACTCTAGCTTAAAAGCTAGTCAGTGCCAAGTCACACTAACCTCTGGTATCAGCCGTCACCTCTAAAACTACAGGTTATCTGCAGATGCCATAGAGAGCCCCTCCGTGTACTCACCAGCACTGCCTTGAGGATGCCCACACATTTCACAGTAAGGTAACAATGAGTTATTGCTATAGGTGCAGGAACCACATTGCCAGTCCTTTCCAGGAAGGGGTGGGGTGGTTTGCCTGGGCCAGCTCAGCTTCTTCTGTGAGGCACTGCAGTGGTCACCGGCGGTGACTGACTTCAATCTTTTAGCTTCAGGTTCAAAATTGTTTTCATAATCAATGATATCTCTTGCAAATATTTTTCCAGGGGCTATTGGCACTATAATACTTTTTTTATGGAATATCCTTGATTCATCACAGGAAGTTGCTGACTGACTATTTTTAGGTTTTGGCAAAAAGAATGATCGAATATCATGCTGTTTTTCTTTTTCAAACTAGGAAAAACAAATAAGTTATCAAATTAACAAGCAATCTAACACGTTTTTCCTAAATGAAACAGCTTAGCACACTGCTTTCATTAACCGTATCTTTTATCTTTTGAATACCTTGTTGGAAATGAATTCCATTTTGCTATGACTCATATATATATGCAGAATACCATGAACACATCCACATATTTCCTGTGTCTAGCATTTTTTTAGCACTTACAATGTGCCAGGCACTTTCTGTATATTAACTCATTTAATCCTCATGCCTGCTCTGTGAGGCAGGTACTATTATTCTTCCCATATTTCAGATGAGGGCACTAAAGCTTTAGAGAAGTTAAGGAAATTGGCTATGGAAGTTATGTAATTAAAATGTACTTCATAAACTATCTGTCCCAGATGTGTATCAGGGAAAGGATACTGTGTGTGGTGATGTGTCTCAGTTGGTTGAGTGTCATGCCACAAAGCCAAAGGTTGCTGGTTCAATTCCTGGTCAGGGTATGTGGCTGGGTAGCCGGCCCCATCCCTGGTTGGGGGCATGTGTGTGAGAGGCAACTGACTGATGTTTCTCTCCCTCACTTTCTCCCTCCCTTCCCCTAACTCTAAAAATAAATAAAATCTTAAAAAAAAAAGAACCTAGAAAAATGTTTTCATACCCAAACTATAAACACAATGTTCAGAAACAATATGTTTTTCATATTAAAATGTTCTTTTTGACCAGAGAGAATTTTAAAAATAGTATTAAATTGAAATAGCTACTTTAACAGACACATTTTAATAATTATTTTGTTTTCAAAAATTATATTTTTCTTTTCTAAGAACTACATAATTATCTCATGTTTTTAATCTTTTCTATGTGCAAATCTCAACCTCCTAATTAGAGAAAGTAGGATAACTATGTTCACAACTGATTAGCTAGCAGTTATGGTAGATTAAAGGAATTAATTTTAGAGATGTGTGCTAGGGCCAGAATTGGGTACCGTGGTAAACACACACTGTAGTAGTTTGCATTTCCAAAGATGGTTACACCAGTTTTTATCCCATTTCACAGGCTCTTCTCCCAATATAACACTGACACACCTACACTTAGAAATGGGGTCTGTACTCCTCTCACTTGAACCTGAGTGGACCTTTGCAGCTGTCTCAGTCAAAAGAGTGCAGTGAAAGTAACACTATGTGACTTTGGAGGCTAGGTTGTTGAAGGTAATATGGCCTCCATTTGGCTGCTGGCATATTATCTCTCTTTTTATGTCTTGGGATGCTTGCCTTTGAAGCCTAGCCTCCATGTTGTGGAGAAGCCCAGACCACATGGAGAAACCACGTGTGGATGTTTAAATTGACAATCCCAGACAGGCCCCCGGGTTACAGCCAGCATCAATTCCCAGACATGAGAGTGAATGAGGCTTCAGAAGCTTCCAGATCTCAGCCTTGGGGTCTTCCAGCAAAGGCCCCAGGCACTGTGCAGCAGAGACATCTCCATTATACCCTGGATGAATTCCTTACCCACAAAAATCATCAGAAGTAACACATGACGATTATTGTTTAAAGAAACTAAGTTTTGGGGTAATCTGTTATGCAGCAATAAATAACAAGGACAGATACTACAGATAATGACAGCAAAAATATAATATATTGTAAAGAGATATTTTTAAAATCTAATCTGTAATTCTTAGCAATGCTAAATAAAATGTAAAGATTTAGCAAATTCATAGGGACAGGGATTAGTGGTTACGGGGGGTTGTGGGGAAGGGAAAGGGGGAGTTATTGCTAACTGGTTACAGAATTTCTGCTTGGGATAATGAAAAAAATTGAAAATAGTGATGGTTGCACAGTATTGTTAGTGTAATATTAAGTGGCATTACCACTGAATTCTATACTTAAAATGGTTAAAATGATCCCCCTCCCCAAAGAAATGGAAGGAAGGGAGAGAGGGAAGGAGGAAGGAAGATTTAGGCTGTTCCCACATTAGTAAAATTAAACCATAATATTATAGAAAAAGGCCCTTCTCCCAATAATGACTACTATTATATGGCTGTTATTGATACATTCTCATATACTATAAAAAAGTTATCTAGTTAGTTGCACAAGTTACAGAATTTAGATAAAAATATAAAGAATGAAATAATGATGAGACAGGATTTTTAAAACAATGAACAAGTGATATTCTAAGAAAAGCAGAGAAATTAGCAGATTTAATAGACTTTAGGGTTTAAAAAACAAAAATGTAAAGAAAATGTTCTATTCTATATAATAGGACTGCAAAGAGGGCTTGCAGGAATCTGAAAATATTAGCAAATATTCAGCAAACATGAACAGGTTCTATCAGCTATTTCTAGCTAAACAATGATGACTTTAAAATGGAGGCCAACTTTCTGAGTCTTTGCATGTTTGGAATTGAGCCGATTTTGCCTTTATCCTTAGTAGTAGCTCCACTGGGCATACACTTCTTAAATATTTAAGGACACTGCTCTCTTTTCAACATTCAATGAGGATAAGGATGTTCCTTCATAGATTGAAGCTTTTTCTTTGCTTTAGAGGTTTGCAGGGCCTTCTTTTTATCCCTGGGGTTCTAAAATTTCACCGTATCTATACCATACACCCATATCTGTATCATCTATATCTATATCCCTTCTGCTCGGCCCCTTAATTTTGAAGAGTATTATCTTCAGCTCTTGGACACTTCTGCTGTTCGTTAATGATTTCTTCCTCTTCCTATTTTCTTTTCCTGGAATTCCTGTTAGCAAAATGTAGGACTCAGACATTTATGTTTTTTATTCTCATATTTTCCTTCTTTGGTATTTTTACCTTCTAAACTCTTGGAATTTTCCTCTATTTTATCTTTCAACCTTTCTATAGAATTACTATATTTTGTCAGTCATACCTTTAATTTCTACAAGTTCCTTCTTGCTCCCTGTTCATTTATCATAGTACTCTGATTTATTTATATTTGCAATATCATCTCAAATCTGAAGCTACTACTTTAAGGTTTTGAAGCTATCCTTAGGATAAATTTTTGTTTTGGTTTATATTTGTTCACCTTTTTTTATGCTACAGATTTCCTCCTCAAATGTCCAATGACCTTTCTGTATCAGAATGAAGGAACAGAAGGGCTGCCCGGGAACTCAGGACACAGAAGGCTTACCACCAAGAATTGTTGAGAGGACATACTGATTAAATGTGGGGTGAGGAGGCTGGAAGGCCCAGAGTGATCCCCTGACACCTAAATTCATAATTTGTAACACTGGAGGATGATATTTTCAGTTACTATAGTAGGGAATACAGAAAGAGAAATGGGCTCATTAGGAGGCACGAAGAGAAGAGATAAGGAAATAAATTCACTTTTTGACATGTTTGAGGACTGGTGGGTACTGGAATGTGAGGGGGCAGGGAAGGGGAAGTTTCAGGAAACAGGTGTGGAGTTCAAGAGAAAGAGCCAACTGGGTTTACCCATCTGGGGGCCACTGACATGTAGAGGTGATTAAAGTTATAGGACTGCATGTCACAATACATGGTGCAGGAAGAAGTAAGAAAAGGTGAAAGTCAAGAGCAGAAAGCAGAGGGACAGCATTAAGGTTGGAATGAGGAATAGATACTGAGAAGAAAACAGAAAAGGAACAGTAAAAAAGGTAGAAAAATCAGGACAGTTGTGGCTTTAGAGTGTGTGTATTTTGGTTTTTCCATTCATTATAGTAGGTGCTCAGTGGGCACTTTCAACAGAAAAACTCATGTACTTCAGTTCTGAGAAATTTTCTATTATTTTCTTCTTCCTCTATTTTCTGTCTTCTCTTTTTATAATTCCTATTGGGCAAAAAGCTTGTGAACTGATCATTTGATTTTCTTCACTTGTTCTCACATTTTCCCATCTTTATTTGTTATATTTTCTGTTCAATTTCCTCCTTATCTCCTTTTCCATCCTTGTTGAGTTATTATTTTCCGATATATAGGTTCACTTTCTAAGAATTTTTCCTTGTTCTTGTTTCATGGGTACAATACTTTCTTTTACTTCTCTGTGAATGTTAATGGTAGTCATGGTGTTTTTAAAAATTTTCTTCAGCTCATTTACCTTGTCTCTGTTTCTTTTCTATCTTTCTTGGCTTACCTGCTTGTTTTGGTTTCTTTGTTTCGTGTGACAGGCTTTCTTCCATGATACAATACTAGTGGAAGGTCCACGTGGGAAACTTCCCTGACGGGTCATCAGTAACTGGGTATCCCTGTCAGTCTCCATAGTTTTTTCTTAGTCTAGTGACTTTCTCCAGAAAGGAGTCTTCCAATCTCCTGCCTAGAGGATACAATGCTGGCTACCAGTGACCTGGGAGCCGATCAGAAGAAGGGCCAGGATTTCACCATTAATTAAGGAGTCTTTCACTTAGTATGCTTGTTTTCAATTTACTACTGTCTTAAGCCACTCCCTCAATGAGTTCTCTTCCTAGATATAATTTTAAAGACATTTTGTAAAGAGGAGCAAATAAAACAGTTGAATAAATAAATATGAAAAATATAAAATAAAAAATATATACAACAGGCCATGGTCACACTAAATAGTATTTAAATAAAAACAGAATCTTTTGTTTCATTCTACATTTTAAATAATTTTCTTCTTTAAGAACATTTTAATTTCTCTACCTCCCCACCGACATAGAAAACAAAATTGTTTCAGATTTATATGTAAAAAACAACCCTACCCCCAATAATGTAAAACAAAAAACTAAAATATTTTTAAAAAATTCTCAGGGCCTTAAAATATCAGATTTTACAACTGATCTCTTTAATTAGGCTATTTATAAAAGAACTTCTTTTACTTAAGCAATCACTAATTTTGAAAGTTAGCATTTTAGAAATTCTGTGCCAGAGGCAGGTTGGAAGTAAAGGTTAGTGGTGAGGGTCAGTAGTCAGAAATTGATACACACCTCTGCCACTACACAGGTTTAGTTTCAGTGCTCTGAAGTAATCAGTATAGGTACTATTTTGAAAGTATGGTTGTTTGGGTAATAATAAATAGAGATTTTAGC